TTCGGCATTTCACCAGCAGTCACGGATGCTACGGCCGCCGCCGATGCCTCGACACGGCGACTTTTACGTGACCATGCACCGATGCCGGTCGGTCGCATTGACTTTGTTGCAAAGTTTAAGTCGAAAGTGTGCCATTCTGTTGTCACTGAGGACTTTGTGTGTATCGACCAGTTACTTAATGACCACGAATCGATGGTCGATGTCTGTGGTCCCGGTTACGTCCTCCTTTCTTCCTCCAAAGCTCAGTGTATCCTGAGCCGCCTCATTTTGTTGTTCTTTTACTCATGGAGGACAACCTCTCGTCACGTGTGCTTTGGCGATTGCCACGCATCGTTCCTCAGCTAAGCCTTGCACGTGCGAAGTAGATACACGTTTTGGAGGGAGTGTGCTTTGTGGGCATGGCAACGACTGAATATAGCTGTAGAAGGTTACACCGGACCTCAGTCCATTCCGTTCCCGTCGTTGTTTAATGGGTGTAAGGGTGAACTTGAGAGTCGTATATTCAGTTTCTTTCACCACATCGAACCTTGCGATTATAAAAGTCCATCTCTGGCGTGGTTTTCATATCTCAGTAATCATATACGACAACCTAATGTCCGTCGAGAGCGAAATTCTGTTCGTTGTTTTTCGAGACTAGCAGCCGTAAATATTTTCTGTTTTACTCTCTTCCGGTCTGTTCAGCGGACCGGCCTACCTATGATACAGCGTAAAGTGGCATGTTCCGAGGGTAAACATATCTCGAAGTCGCTTGGCTCACGAAGTGAACTTGGCAGAACGATCAGCTGAGGGCGAATGACCTCCTGTGATAATGCACCCGAGAAGTCATATGAAGTGAAATAATGCCGCTGACTAGTACTTACTGAGTATAACTATTATAGTTACTAAGTTACTAAATTGAATCTGAACGCCATTACTAACTGTTTTTGCAGGATTCAGACTGACGCATGAGTTTTCCTAGCTTATAGGATCAGTGGTTTTTCTGGAGAGGAAGCAATCTATGATCATGCATTTAAACAGGACAGGAGGCAACCGCTGATTCAGTTCCTCGTCTCAGCGATTGTCTCTCTGCTTAGGCCTCGTACCACAATATCTCTCTTCTCTCTGAGTTGGTTCCGTACTCGGGGATGGCCAAAGTTGGTGCGCGTTTAGCGACTACCGATGAGACATTGGAACCACCCCGATCTGCAGATGTGGTCAACCGCTGAAGACGTCTTATACCGTAACGACTGCCCGGTGATACGATTGGAAGGAGTCCTGGCTACCTCAAACTGTCCCTTTGGTGATACTGTAGACAAACTGGAGTATTTTTACATTTGACAGATGAACTGTCTCCACTGTGCTGTAGAAAGATAAATTGCTTCTCGTTTGTGAAACCTGCGAACCTCGCTTTGAACCTCTTCGTTCTCTTACCTTGCCTTGAAAAATTGATCGTCGGTTGTTAAGCACGTAGACGAGTGAAATCATGATGACAGGCGAATTTCGACGGGACGATTCAAGAACGTCAGAAAGTTTCCGATCAACCGTTCAACTACTTATTTCTACTTCTATTAATGAAGTAATCTGGTACGGTACTTCTGCTTGGCCTTAAAAATTCATTCATTCATTTCACCTGTCTGTGCGTGAGCTGGTTTTAAATTTGATTGGTTGGTTCATTTGATTAATTTACATGGTTGGTTCATTGACTCACCTGTAAGCTGATTCCATCGTCAGAACTCATAGACTAAATTCAAACGGCATTTTCGTCACAGGTCGCCAAGAAGTTGAACTACATTGATTAAGGTGATACGAAGCTTGTCTTATGGAAAACCTGTTCCCGTCTTCTACTTCCTGACACCATTCCTGTTACGTTCGTTCTTCCCTGCTCAACTTCTGCTGATAGAGCAC